CAGCCAACTCAAATAGCCATTATATTCTCAATTAATACTCATTTATTCGTGACATTAGGGTCTTATATCTAGGGTTAAACAGGGGCAATGGAGGGGACGGAGGATCTGTACGCGCTGCTGGGATTGCCTGGAGGTGTCGATGGCGCTGCGATCCAGGTAACCGAGTTGAAGAAGGCGTGGAGGAGGCGCTGCCTGGAATGGCATCCAGACAAGCGCCCCGGCGATGCTACTGCAGGTAACTTGTAGAATCTGAGAGATCTTCTTCTCAAATTTCTCCTTCGTTTCTTCCAGCCGCTCAGTTCAATCGCATCAACAATGCGTTCGAGGTGCTGTCCGATGCCAAGGCGCGCAAGGCGTACGACGAGCTCCAGCTCCTCCGGAGGAGGAGGGAGGAGGAAAAGAAAGAGATGAGCGCCAAGCGCCAGAAGATGGTGGATGATCTACAAAAGAGAGAGGCTGCTTTCGAGCTCCAGCGCAGGGAGAAGGCGGCGGAGGTGAGCGCCGCGCAGAGGCTCAAGGAGGAGATTGCCAGGATACGAGTGAAGAAATCGCAGAAGAAGATGGGTAGGAATGGGATCGAGCCTGGCAAGCCTGTGGATATCATCGTGAGCGAAGAGGACAAAGACAAGGCGCTCAAAGTTACGTGGGACTTGGCAGGCACTCCGGGATACGATGTTGAAAGCTTGCGCGGTATATTTCAGCGATTTGGCCCGGTTGAGGACGTGCTGAGACTTGAAAAAAAGAAGAAAGGCGTCGCGCTGGTGGTGATGGTAACTGCGCAGTCCGCGGTACGTATGCTCTCTCTCTGGCCTGGTGTTCTTTAAGTTCTTCTTTCTCAGTTGGCATGAAAATGGTCGTGCGAAGTTTCAGTTTTCTCTGTCTTCCTTTATGTGAAGCGTGGGTCTCTCGCTGGTTTCTGTGGCTTTGTTCTTCTTGCGTGACGTTATCCTTTGTGCGATTGCCTTGCGTGTGCTTTCAGTCGCTAAGCTTGCGTCATTTTTGTGACACAGCTCGAAGCCTCTCAGTCGCAATGTGGACATATCGCCAATCCCTTGCTCGTGATTCCTCTCGGGAATCCGTTCAGGCCAGAAGGTGCAGAGAACCCGCCAGACACGAAAACTCCCGCGGCGGCCAGGGCCCCCTCCCCGTCCCCGGCGGCAAATCACGCTACACTCGCGGGCTCCGGTTTTGGTGACCGGGAAGATTTAGTCCTCCGCAAGCTCAAAGAGGTGGGTGACTTTGGCCTGTTCACAGGAAGTTTGTTTACTTATCCGGCAAGCCAAAAACTCTTTTTGTTTTTGCTTTTGCTTGCAGGCCCAGGAGAGGAAGAGAAAGATGGACGCGGCCGCAAAGGAGGGATGAAGACAAGAGTGCGCGAAGCACGCCTGGGCGATGCGTAAAAAGGCGGGGCTTGGAAGCTAGTAGAGGTGTCGAGCGCTTGTTCACGAGTCATGACAGTGGTAGGTCCTCGAATTTAAGCTCTCCGCTCTTGTTGTATGTCACGTTTACTTCGCTTCGTTTAGGTGTCGAACGAATCTGGAGCACAAAGACAAGCGCTAAGATCCATGGATCGATCGGCACAATCGCTGCGAGGATATCTCCCGCCAGTTCGCGAGCGGAAGATCGAAGCGAGTGAGTTTTTTGTCCTAGTTTTCTTGTCTTGGATCAGGAGAGTAGCTAGCGCTAGCCTTTGACTCGACCGTTAATCTGTAGCTATCGTGGCGCCATCGCGGCCGACCAGCCCGGCTTCATCGCCAGTGACATCACAAGAATGAAGATATGGTGTGGATATGCATGGGTCCCACATGTGCTCCCGATCTAAACAACCACGCCCCGGCGCGACAATCTCCACCGTCAGTCGCTTACCATTTGGAAGATCATGATAAAAAATGGAGAAGAAAAGAATCCATTGGGCCATTGTTTAGTCGCCCAAAATCTTCCAACGTATCGCGGCAACTTTAGAAAAAGAAAAGCGCATATTCTTGGTCCCGGGCGGCATCTCTTTTCTACGCGCAAATCGGCGACCGTCGAATCGCGATCCGATCGCGCGGGCCCGCCACGTGCCGTCGCCACCTGCTTTCACCCAGCGCGGTGAAAATCGTAAAAAACCACCCGGCAAAATCTTCCATGCGATCCCGCCCGACAGGGACAGGACGGCCGGAAGGGGCTCGAATATCCCGCCGGCGGAATATTCGTACGCCACCAAGGGCCTGGATTATTCCCCCCGGCGGATCGTGGCCGTAGGATTTCTACCCGTACATGGCTACGTACCTCGGGGCTTTACTAAATGAAGGTAAAGTGGTGGTTTGACTGGGCCATAAAAAAGAGGGGAAATGAGAAAATAGAGGGCCGCGAGTCGCGAGGTTTTAGCATAGCTTTGTTTCACCCGCAGGATCTGATGATCTGATCTCCTCGTCCGGAATTTGTTCGATCCGTGTCACCATTGATCATTTCTTCTTCTTCTTCTTCTTCTCTCTCTCTCCCCGGTTTTTTAGCTAGGTAGCGAGTTCTTCTCGGAACGAAGGAATAGCGAGCTTAGCGACTTACAGGCGCGGGGGTTTCCTCACTTTCGCTTTCTCGAGGAAGAGGAAGAGCGAGCGAGCGAGCGAGCGCGAGAGAGTTTTGGTCTCCTTCTTCTTCTTCGTGGTGGTGGTGTTCATAACTTCGTCAATCGTATCGATCGATCGAGCGAAGCGAGCAAATGGGGAGGCGGGTGAAGCGGTCCAATGGAGCTGCCAGCAGCACCGCGCAAGATCTGGGTAGCGAGAGCAGCAGCGGCATCGTTAGTAGCAAGGAAGGGGGAGGCCACGTTTTGAGCCTACCTTCGACTTCTTCTTCCTCTTCCTCTTCTTCGCAGATTCATGTCCTGGCCGTGGACGATAGCCTTGTGGATCGGACCGTCATCGAGAGGCTGCTCAAGACGTCCTCTTCCTCGTTCAAAGGTAAGAAAGATAGTCTTCGAATCTGGGCGATGAATTTCTCGATTGAAATCGCTTGCTTGTTTGCTCTTCTTGCAGTCACGGCCGTGGACAGCGCATTGCGAGCGCTGGAAATTCTGGGCATTGTTGACGGACAGGCTTCTCCAGCAGCAGCTCCTTCCGAGGTAAGAGAGAAAAAACAATTAAATTAGCAGTAAGGCTAGTTTTCTTCACAGCCAAGTAAAGATTTTTCAGAGGCTTACGGTTTTGTGGTCGTCGCAGGGCATTCAAATCAGCATGATCATCACGGATTACTGTATGCCTCATATGACAGGCTATGATCTTCTGAAGAGAGTAAAGGTGAGTGAAAAAAATCGCTTTTTTTTCTTTTTCCAAAAGGAGGTTTACCGATTTGCGGGTCCACTGGTTTGATGGCAGGGTGTTTCTTCACTCAAGGAGATCCCGGTTGTGATCATGTCGTCTGAAAACGTAGAACAAAGGATAAACAGGTTGGTTGAATTTGCGTAAACAAGTTAAAGACGACCTCCTTCTAACCGTGTGAATGGATGATCGTTTCAACAGTTGCTACGAAGAAGGTGCCGAGGACTTCATCATAAAGCCCGTGAAGCTGGCCGATGTCAAGCGCCTCGTTAGCGGTCACCTGGGGGGAAAGAGCAGCGAGGTTGAAACGTTAGCTGCGAATACCAGGAAGAGAAAGCGCGTCTTGGAGGACAATTCTCCTCCGAGACTCCATCAGAGAGTAGCAGTCCAATGAGCAGCGCGCGAGATCTGGTAAAGTCTTCACAAGTTGGGACGAAACATTCTTCTCGTTCCTGCAAGGCTTTCAGTATCGGTTGCGGCAGCCAGGATTTTTGCCTCGGCTTTTTCCTCCTTTTTCCAAAGGAGCTGATTTTAGCAGCAAAAGCTTACCGGCACGAATTTGTATAGAACAGGGAACACTCTTTTTGTAGTGCTTTTATTACGAAGCAATTCACTTCAAGATGTTATCTGGCACCTGTCTGTCAGAATTTCCTACAAAACTTTCGATCGTCACCAGCAGAAAGATATGTACGCGACGATTCATCGTTACCCAAAGTGTGCACTAAGTGGTTGCGATGTCCACTTCATGTGAAGAAAAATCTTGCCGCTTTTAACACCATCCAGCTGGTAGCCTTCTTCATATTCTTCCTCTCGGACAACTCTGGACAGCGTTAGTGCACAGCGGCCCATGTAATCCTGCAGCAGTGACAATGTTACTGCTACGCGTCCAATAACTTCTACGGAGAAAATCATCATGCGACAGACCTTGCCAAACGTATCGTGATCCCAGATTTCGACAATTAACATATCATGAATGGCGTCCTCCACCACAAAATCAAACGTCTGGTTCCACTCTGGCTGGAGCGTTTTATTGAGCACCTGTTTTATAAAGTCACACAGTCACATATTAAAACTTGAAAAACAGTTATGTTTCCTGCTTACCTTAGTTCTGATCTTTTGATCGCTTTTCTTCATTCGCAAGACCGCATAAGGATCTGCCAAACCATTTGTGTCGGCCGCTATCAAGTTCTCAGCTCTGATAACGGTCACCGTAAGAACTCCGCGGTTAAATTCATCATCTTCATCTATCCTGGGAGAGACCAAGTCGACATGCGAAGGTTGGAAGCTTTGCGGAGATGTATCCATTCGTCTTGGACTAGCAAGAGTTTTTCCTGGACTAGCCTGTAATTCTTGCTGCGGATGCCCATTGCTGTTTGTCATCAACGTTTCCAAAGAAGTCATTGGAAACTTTCGTTTCAAGTAAGGATTAACTGTTCCATGCTCATGATAGAGGAGCTCCACTTGTACCTGAAATATAGCAATTACATTGCAAGAATAAACAATATAAAAATAATATATCAAACCTGTCCACGATACTTGTGTTCCTTGACATTGTCAAGATCTTTCACCAATGTGAGCCACACGTCTTTCAGGACTCCTGGTTCCAAGTTCTTCAAAGGGAAAAGAGCACCGCCAATAAACTCGGATGCCTGAACACCTTCATCGTCGAAAACTTGCACAGTCAATTGTTGAGTGGAAGGATCCTCAACGTCAAAGATGTACTTTTCATTCCAAATGGGATGTAGGTCATTGTTCTGATAGTGCATCTCAATCAGTAAAAAACTTCAAAACTACAGAATTGGATGTTACCTGGGTCTTGCTTCTTTTCATGCGGCTGGGGATGGGCCTGATGAACGTTCGAGCAAAAGGATCAGACTTGCCTGCCAAGTCTTTATTCAATAAATCCTTCGCTTGTACAAGCTTTACGTGCAAAGTTCCAACAACTCGGAGTTCTAAATTTCTACCAAAACAAATGCATCAGTATAATACAAGGAAAAGCATATACATACGAGTAATCTCCTGGTACGATGGGAACTATTTGCCGCACCGGCCACAGCAGAGAGTCTGTTATTGCAGTTTTTATCATCTCCTGAGAGAGAGAGAAAAAAAAAACATGTCGATTCCGTGACCGCAGTAACATTCTCTCGAGACTTACATCAATAGCTCCTGCCAGTCCGGGCACGGACTTAATATCTCCTCCTATCACTTTTAGTGTAAAATCCAGTTTTTTCTGCAGTTATAAGTGATGAAAACGGAGAATTGAGATTGCTCCACGTACCTGTCTACGCAAAGAATACACAATAGCACCGAAGCAAGGAAGATCCTTAACCAGCGGTTTAAATATCACTCGAAAGATTCCAGCAAACGCCGCATTTTTCACCTACGAGTAGATCAATACGACTGGTTAAATAGTAAACCAGAGCTCAACGAAGGAACTGGAACATCTGGAATGGAAATACGAGAGACAATCAGCGCCAGCGATCCAAACCAACCTGAATAGGTAGCGAGACACCGAAAGAAGTAGTGACACCCAATATAATGCTCGGATTGCCATCCCACTCCAACTCGATCTCCATTACGACTTCATTCTCCATATCGTCGACCATACCAATGCCTGTAGAAACAAGCGAGTGTTAGTCGATCAACAAAACAATCAAAAGAAGAAAAGGGAAACGAAAGTCCACCTACAAACTGAGGAGCAACTGTCCCGAGCGTGAACTTATTAAACTTTAGAGAGGAAATAAGAGGTGGCTTGTACTGATCGAGTATCGGCTCTACAATAGTCCGGGCCAATTCAGACGCTGCCTGTGCATCAATCAAACCACATTCGTGTTTATCCACTTCGAAGTACCTGATCAACGTAAGGCCAGATCCTTCGCAACTCCTGGTTCATCCAGCTAACCTACAAACAAATCCACGAAGAAAAAACAAACAACAATGCTGTAGAGTTCCATCGAGAATTTTCTAGAGTGTACCTTGTGAGACTGTGAGAAAACTATCCACGGAGGCATTGGCTGTTTGTAATTGCTGAAGACCTTCCTTAAATCATCCAGGCTGAGCTTGGAGAGAGCGCTCGTCGCGATCGCCTGGAAATAAGAGAAGGAATCACTCCGGCGATCACAGGAAATGACAACTTACGAGCCGCTGCCGGGAATGCGAGCGCCGATTCTCGGACAGGACGAAGCCAAGAACAAGCGTTATTCCCACGATGAAGCCGACGATGAAGCCGCTGATGAGCGCCATATCTCCAGCTCCCGCTAGCTCCTCCTCCTCTCGCCCGCCGCGCAAAACCTAGCCCTTGGCGCCCATCGCCTTCTCGCCTTCTCTACGCGCACAAGAGTCTCCTGGCAATATGGTAGTTGTGGCCACATGGCCCAGATAGTCACGGATATAATCACTAGACATGGATGTTCGTACAGCATGGCGTTTTGTGGCCATGGTGTCGGTGGCGCTTTGGTATAAAGTGTCGTACAATAGAGCCAGCCATTACTGGCTACACTTCCATGACTTTAAAATACTTCTTTGATTCTTTCCCGGCCTTGTGACTTTATCTCTGGACGGATTAATCGATCATCTTCGAGATCGCCAAGTTTCTGGATCGTTTGATCCTGGGATTGATCAGATGTTCATTTCTTCTTTAGCTCGAAGAAATCTAAAGATCAAAAGTACCCCTTTTCTTGTCACTCGAGAATGTTCCGGATCACGGAGCTCAACCTCGCTTGATCCATCGCTAGCGTTTCCGGAGCTGGCCTTAGCTCTGAGAAGTCTCGAATGCAAAGAGAGCCATTCTCGTCCTGCTGCCAGAAGATCTCCACCATCATTCCCAGTGGATGATCTTCGGTGACTGTGCCGGGGACTGGAAAGTATCGCGTACCAACGGGTACCTGGTGTATGACACGAGGATCATCATTTACCATACCACGAAGTTCATGTTTTACTACTCACCATGAGAACCATCCCATCGGAGAGACGAAGTTGCTCCAGCCGACCCTCGGAGTTTTGGAGCTCAGCTCTCTTGGCAATGTTTAGAAACACGTCCTCTAACGTTGTCAAGCCCAGCTGGATGTCGGTGATGCCAAGCTCCTTCGACTTGTAGCTCAATTCTTCAAAGAAATCCTGCATCCAATGTAAAAGTATAGTGAGAACCACTCTGGAAGTATTGATTTTTACGTACTGCGAGTTTAGGCTGGCTTTGAGGAACAGCGAACGTTACGTACGCTTTCGTTTCTTCACAAGGAGCAAGATTAAGATGCTGAAAGAGCAACGCAATTTAGCTTTTTTTTTTAATGAATATGTAAAACTGCCAGGCTTACCTCATGAAAGTATGCCTTGATGCCAGCCCGTTTTACTCGTTCTTCCTCCTCGACTTCGGCAGCACTTCCAGAAAACCCGTTTTCAACGCCAACGCTGATCTTGTATCCAGTCCCATACTTGGACTTCAAATGGATTGAGCTACCAATGCATTGAAGCTTTCCTTTCGCCATGATCGCGATTCGATCCGCTAGAACGTCAGCTTCTTCCATTGAGTGGGTCGTAAGAATTATGGCACAGTTTTTCTTCGCATCTTCTATCACGTCCCATACGTGCCTACGCATTATAGGGTCCATTCCCGTTGTCTGCCATTCAAAGAATGAGTATGATTTCCACAAGCATTATAAGCACTTACAGGTTCATCCAAATACAGCACTTTCGGATCTCCAACGAGTGAAATGGCAACACTTAACCGTCGCTTCATTCCGCCGCTGTAAGAATCGGATCTTGTGTTTCCAGCCTCTGTCAATTTAACTTTCGCAAGCATCTCCTCTACTTTCTGCATTCAAAAGGTTACAAAACACAAAAGAATGCTAGCATTAGCGTACCTCGCGTTGTTTAGTCTGGTCAATTCCTTTAATCTTTGCAAAAATGTGTAGATGCTCCCGTCCAGTTAAAGAGCCCCATAATATATCAAACTTTATGGAAAAGACACAGCTAAACTTTCTCAGAGTTTTCCGAAGTCAAAAAGGTCTCACCTGTGGGCAGACGCCCATGTAGCTTCGAATACGGTTCATGCCGTGAGTACTTTTTATCGACTCGCCGTAAACATACGCTACGTGCAAAGGTTATCTCCAACGATAACAACTCAACAGTTGAACTTACCATCGCCGGCAGTAACCGGAAGTATACCAGTTAAACAGTTTATTGTCGTCGTTTTTCCAGCTCCATTGGCACCCAAGAGGCAGAATAGCTTCTGATTCTCAATGCTGAACCAGCAGCCCTGCCAGGAAGTAATGAGCCCGTATGAAATACGTTTTAAGAATTATTACCTGAACAGCGTGTTGAGGAGGTACCCTTCGCCACCGACAGCAGCCTGCCTTTTTCCGTGAACCCGAGAATGTCTTTACCAGACCTCGTACTTGTACAGCAATCAGCGGATCAACATCATTTTGTTTCACCGAGTCTTCTTCGGCTTTCACATCGTCGTCTGTAGCAGTTCCAGGTGGTGGTGAAGGTAAAATTTTACGTCCACAACATCCTAGATAAGCAGAGACATAGTTACCAACAGCTTGAAGATAATCTCAATCTAATACCTGTTGTTTCTTTCTCATTCATGTTTCCTGTCCAGTAAGATGCATGTGTAAAGTAAAACCATGGCTTACGAACCCCATTTACATCCGGAAGAACGTTGTCAAAGTATATCGCGAGCACAAGCCATAGAAAGAATGTTCCTATTAGCCAATAGTATCCTTGCTCCTGGGACGTGAGAAATTTTTTGAGTCGTTTGTACTTCAAAACAAATAGGTGCTTACCAAGGTGAGGACACAATCAGTTTCATTATCTCTAGGAGGACAACGATTACGACCAGCCCAAGTATATCCGGAGCTTTCGGAGCTGGCCTTTCCCAAATCACTCATGCCAGCCGCGAAAATATTGGGAGGAAAAAAAGACCAAATAATTTGATACAATTTAGAATAGGAGTTGCTGTAAGGGAAACCAAATGCGGTCACCAACTGGCAGAAATTGATCAAAAAAAGGAGCCAAAATACGTATCAACTTAGTGAACTTTGTCAATAATAAGAATCTTACCTGTGTTACAAAACCGACAATGAAAACCACAAAACCAACAGTGTTTGCTGACGATGTTTTCGTAACGAAAGTGGACAGCAGAAAGGAAAAGGCCACCTACATCCAGCTGCAAATTGTCGAAGAACAACTTCAGTAGTTAATACGTACCATGTTCGTCTGAAAGAGAAAGAAAACGAGGAAAAGCACGCCAAAATCGTTGTCCAGGAAGAAATTAAACTGGAACATCATGCCGGAAAGGACCAGCACCATCGACGAGAGGAAAGTCAAGCACACGTCCCATATCAGCCATGTCGACCAATACACGGAATCCATCAACCCCATAACAGACATTGCCTGCTCAAAGCGTTTAAGATGATCAGACCATAATCGTCGATGAATCATACCTGACGAAGCTTGAGCTCCTTCTCGGAAACCAAATTGCTTAGCTGAATGACAAATCCAAACATGGTGGCGGCGAGCAAGAAAGTGGGACCGATAGTTCCGACCGTAGAAAATGTTGTTCTCGCTGGATGTGGATACTCCGCAAACGAAACGTTCCATCCAAGACTCGGATCTGTAGCAACTAAAAGTGAGATTCCTTCACGGATAAAGAGAAGACAAAACTTCTCGCTTGGTTGGTCTTACCTCTTGTCAAAAAGCGACTGATCTCCCTCTCGGCGGCGGCTTGCAAAGGGAGCTGGAACTTAAACACAGTGTCCTCAAACGTCCCGCGAATGATCTTGGCGGTGGAATTCGTTTGGATTCCATACGCGATCACGTTTGGCTGCCGTTCTTCCAGATGAAGAGCTCCAGGACACTGCAATGGATGCGCGAGGAGCCATCTATCCACGTCGTCCGGGGTAGCAAAGCCCAATGTCTACGATCGAAGAGAGAGCCATTCGCTAAGTAACTAAAGCTATGAAGCTATGAAGCTATGGAGGAAGAGATCTTACCTTGGACGGTGGTATCGGTCGCCCGGGATTGTTCCGCAATATTTCCAGCACGATCCGAGCTGCGGTGGCGCTGGAATTCCCACTCCACACGAAATCGTAGCACGGATCCCTCATGAAATACCCGGTCTCGCAAGGAACGATCGGCGAGATCGCCGTTGCCGGGGGAGACTTGACGTCCCGGTAGGAAGTAGTCCCTCTTCTACTCGCCTGGATCGCTTGATCCACGCCAAAGATGAGCAGCACGAACAAGAACGCCGAGGAGAAGTGGATTATCGTGGAGCGCTTGCGCCGCAGCGAAAGCATGATATTCTTGTAGAAGAGCGCCGAGAACTGGCGCCGGAAGAGCCATAGCACCGGCGTTTCCATCGATCACGCTAGAGGAGGAAAGATCTTTTCAGCATTCTAGCATTGTCTGCTGACAGGAGAATCTTTCCTCTCTCTCTCTTTTCCTGTGGATGCCGAAGAACCCTAATCGATCGAGCTTCTAGGTAGATAGGTAGGAAATATTTCCATGGCGGAGCTGCATAGCCGTGCCTTCCGTGCGGATTCCTCAGCGGCCAAGCGCGTCACGATCGGGCTTCCATTCCTCGCCATCGCAGCGTTCACGATTCTTGTGATTGGGCATCTTGTGAAGCGGAGAAATCCCGGTAGACATTCTTGCCCTCTTTTCCTTCTCGCTTCCTCCTTCGTGCGTGCCTCAAATCTTCTCCTTGACGTGTGGCCTACGACATGCTAGCGAAGAATGCCGACAGCCTCTGACTCTTCTTAGCGATTAAGCTCGTGGAATTTTCCATTTCTCTCTTTGTTTGACATTTTAGTTCTAGGCAACGTGGTCTTTGAAGTTTTTGTTTCTTTTTTTTCTTCCTGGCCTTCCTGATCGTCCGTGATCTTCCGTGAACTCTCTGGTTGTTCCTAAGAAACCACCAGTGTCTACCATAGATGAGTGTGATGCTTTTCTTTGAGTTTCTTGGTTGATCGATCCACTGACTTTTTAAAGCTATCAGGTGGCAAGCGTTTGGGTGGAGCAAACAACGCAACAGGCCAACACGCTCCAGAAGAAAATGGTGACAGGGTCGCGGATGACGATGATACTGAGACGCAGTGCTTGGAAATCCCCGGGAGTATCGAAGAGCTTCGTGCTCGACGAATACGGGCAATGGAGAAGCGGCTTGCGAGAGGCAGCAAGTCTAACGATCCAGGTTCAGCGAGATTAACTCCTCTAGGAACCATGTTAGCCATTTCCAGAAAGGTGCCTTCGCTCTTTGTTTGCTGAGTTAGTGGCTTTAATCGTGCTCTGCCGCAGATTGACGAGCTCGAGAAGCAGGTTGCGAGTTTTCTCGACTCCAGTTCTCAAGTCCAGCAAGTTTGCGCTTGTTCTTGTTTTCTTTTTTCTAGAGTTTTCTGACTCGTGATCTTTGGGTACCGCAGCATAGATGCGAAGAACTGGTGGAGAATTTGAAAAGTTTGCAAATGGAAATCGACGCTGTCAATGTAAGCACATACCCTTGTGTCGATTCAACCATTAACAAAGCGAGGTTATGTTCCAGAGCGATGAGGCTGTGCGAGAACACAGGAAAATACAATCTTGTCGCGTGGAATCTCTAATGCAGGTAAGTCTCTACATCGATTTTGGTTGTATGAGTAGCTAACTTGCTAAACTCCTTAGGAACTACAACACAGTAAACAGTGACGATCAGTCGAAGTCTTCTTTACACTTTTGAGAATCATCCGCTCCTACGATCGTATGAACCTGTGCGAAGAAGAGTAGTGTAAGCAAATCCTCAGAGCTTAAAAATTGACTCAACTGTGTGCCGGGATGTTGTGAACCCAGACTTTGGTTCCAGGCAAGATGAACGCATCGTTTCTTATCTGCTCGCCGATAGCGTCTCTCAAGTAACACCAGTCCACCTTGTTGGCTAGAATCTCCGCGGCCGTGGTTTTGCCTTGGGGATCGATGGGAATTTTCGCTATGAGCTCGTCGTCGGCGTTGTGGACGAGCGCGCAATCGCAGTCCTGGTGATGTGCTCCAGCCGGTTGGAATGGCGATCGTCTCACGGTGTATGGCACTGTTTGATCCAGAGAAAAAAAATCAGTTTTTGATCGAGCAAAAGAGGAGTGTTCTTTGCGATACCTCGAGCGTAGAGAATCGTCCCGCGAGGGACAATGTCGTTGGCCCGGAAGACGCGACCCTGGCCATCGACGAGATCGCGGCGAGCTCCATAGCCCCAAGTTTCTTGGATGATTTTGGCGGGCTTTCCTTCTGGAGGGAAGGAGTAGAGCAAGGCGCACTTGGGATTTGGAAGCATTACCCTCACCGTGTCGTAATCCGGCTCCTCGTTCGCGTTCAGGATCCTCCAATCGTTCCCCATTTCTTTGTTCGTTTCGGGCTCGCGCTTGCCCTAGATTTTAAATCACATTTGCCGCGAGACCAAGCTTCTCAATCGCCACCGTTCAAACTAGGGCATTTCAAATTTCAAATAAATTACATTTGCCGCGACGCAATCGCCACCGTCCAAGCTTAGATGATTTAGAGCTCGTCTTGGTACACAATAGGATGAGAGGGAGGAGCGAACTTCTTGACTCTCTGGGGGATAAATCTCTTCTTCAAGATATATGCACAGACCATGATGAAGAACAGAGCTCCAACGATTAGTATGAGCCTACACAAGGAGAAACGCACAGATTTTAAGCAGCAAAGTAGAACGAAAGAACTAAGTCGTGAGTCTGTTTGATCGATCACCTGTCTAGAACGTCATGGCGAGTCAGAACGGAGAGAAGACGTCTTGTCGTCTGGAACAGTGATGTTTGGCCTGAATACTCAGACTCGGTTTTGTACAGCATGGTGGAAGAGTGATCTGGATGAAAATTTAGCGAAGTTTAGACACCATAGATTGGATGGAAAACTCACCAAGAGCTGACAAAGTCGTCGATCCCCGATCGATTTCCTATGGTTGGAAAGAGAAAATATGATTGAATTGAGCAGAAAATTGAGATTTTAGAACCAACCTGAACCATCAATTGTCTCGTTCGTCTCAATGTTTCCGTGACGTTTTCGGCAGCGGCAGCCATTCCTGCTTGAGTCCTGAGGTTGCAAACCATTCTTATCTTTCAAAAGGACTACACTGACCGACTTACTCGAGATTCCGTCGTCTTAGCGTCCCCTCTTTACCACCAGAGAGTAGCATCTCTCTCTGATGTAGCAACAGGCTATCAAAGAAAGATTTTTTCGCAAGCAAGAAGAAAAGAATACCTCTTCGTTTGCAGATTTTCCTATGTTGGACTTGGCTCGTAAATTGGCACTCCGGAGACTCAATCTCAATCTAGAAGCAAGGATCAGATCGAACAAGAGGCAAAGGAAACAAGAAAAGTTACAAAACAATACTTACGCTTCATACTCGTCTTTAAAATTTGATAGCAAGAGCTCGTAACCCTCGCTAGCCTCTTCACTGATGGAAAAAAAATTCATTCTCTTTCTCGCAGCTAAAACTATGATTCCTTTCCCTACCTTGGGTGCTGTGGAATGAGAACCTCCATGTTTCCCATTAGCGATCGAATTGCCGCCAGGGAATCCTGCGCGAGCGCATTGAGACGCGGGAGAGACCTAGCGTCACCAACGGATCTACAAGCGGCGACGGCATCGATCTTGCTCTTGGCATCCCTGCGCATTCCCTCCCAGTCCCTCTCGATCTTCTCCAGCGCGCGCAGCACTGCCGCTTCATCCCCCTCCATTGAGAAAGAAAATTTAGGGTTCTAGCGAGAAATTTTAGGGGTTTAGATACCATGGCGTCGTTGGCGATGGCATTCTCCTCCAGCTTCGATGGAGCCGGCCGGGTCTCGAGGGTTTCGCGATCGAGATCGCAAGTAGAGCGCTCGATCAGCGCCGCCAGGCCATGCGGTATGTCAAGCGCTAGTATCAGAGGTCTGCATTCTCACAATGTAGCAAGAATCTCGAGAATAGCCGCGCGAAGAGATGAAGAAGAAGAGCCGCAGGAAGAAGAAGATTACGAGCTGCTGACGCTTGAGAAGCTGCGAGAACAGCGAAATCTCATGAACGATATCATGAAGAGGAAAGTGAGGGTCTACAAGAAGAAATTTAAGCGGCGAGAGGCCAGGGAGCAAGGCACTGTGGAAGAGCAATTTGTGTCCACTTTCGATAGGCTGGAGCCATTCTTTGAGGACGAGAAGCCGTCGGAAGGTATGAAGCAGCTGCTGGCATTGGTGGAATCAAGTCGGGCGTTTGACGAGCCTCCTCCGCCGAAGTACCAAGTTCCACAGTGGCTCCAAAACGCTGGTGTGATCACATTATACGCACTCTTCTTATACGTGAGACTTTTCCTTGTTTCTCTTGGATTGCTGCTCATTCTTTCTTCGTTTTTTTCCTGTTGTGGTTTTCAGGTTGTGGTTTACGTAAATGAAGTTCTCGACGACTATGACGAGCGAAAGGCTCTTGAGAAGGAAGCTGCGATGGCCGATAAGGGCGAGGATCTAGAGAAAGCTAAGAAGAGCATGGAGAAGAGCCTAGAGAGCGAGTTTAACGTAGCGGCGGGGCGAGTTGGAACCACTGCGGAGAACCAAAGAAACGTACAGAAGGAGCCCAACGTGCTGGAGAGATTCTCTCAGGTAACATAGCATTCAGCTTAACGCTCATAGTGGTTTTTCGTTTCAGACCATCCAGTTGTGGCTACGGTCTCTTTGGTTTAGCATCCTCGGGAAGTGGAAAGGGCGATCTTAGCAGAATTGTAGCTTAGGTACGTTGCTGCGATGATGTTTTATCTTGAAGTTAACATCCATTTCATGGCAGGACTGGACTCTCCTTTTGTTTTCTTAGAGTGTATGTACATTGACAGGGAAGAATGCAATCTGGTTCGCATTTTCAGAGATGTTGCGAACGTTCTTTTAACTTTTATCCAGCTCTTCGCCCACAGTGGGCGTAAGGTACGTCTTTTTATTTGTATTCATGTTTGTGTTTGTCATTTACAACGTGTTTATGTAGACTTCGGGGGGAAGCCGCCGGTTTGCCACTGCGATAAGCGGATGTTTTCTTGCGACGATCACGCCTTGTCTCTCCTCCATGTTCATGGTGCTGCCGTCAGGAAGGGCCCAGTGAAATGCTTGCACCAGCCGTGCAAGAGTGAGCTCTACCATGCACAGTGCGAGAGACATCCCCACGCACATCCTCCTGCCTGCTCCAAATGGTATGAGCTCGAAGTCGCAGCCTTTGACATCTATAGACGAGTTTATGAAGCGCTCGGGCATGAATTCTTCCGGTGAGTCCCATTGAGCTGGATCGCGTCCCATCGACCAAGCATTAATTAGAAGCCATGTTTTTGCCGGAATTGTGTAGCCTTTGAGAGTGCACGCTTCGATGGACTCGTGCGGTGCCATCATAGGAGCTGCTGGATGCAGTCGAAACGTCTCTTTGACCACAGCTTTGAGGTAGTGTAGATGATGGAGGTCATTCTCGTTCACCAGACGATTGTCACCAACAATGACATGAATCTCTTGCTGAACTTTTCTCAGGCACTCGGGATTTCTGAGGAGCTCCGACAAGGCCCACTCGGTCGTAACTGCGGTGGTGTCTGTTCCTCCAGCAAGGATGTCCTTCAGAGACGTAAGAGCGGTTTAGTTCTTATGAGAATTGCTTTTGTGAGCTTACCAGGATCACGGCTTTTATGGCACTGTCCTCAATTCCGACCGACTGTAGAACGTCCACCAAGTCGCCGGATTTCACCTTTTCTTCTCGATGGTCGTCGACAAGCCTCTGTAAGATGCAATCAATCTTTTTGCTTGTCTTTTTTAAACGTGGAATGTATCCTCCAGGGTCAAGCCGCTTGAGAAAAGGTATGTAGTCGCCGAGATTGACTGCTCCCATCAACCGTACTGCCTCCAGGATCACGTTCAGTGGTTCTGCGTCTTCCGAGAACTCTCCATGACGGAACTTCTTGCCAATGGCCATGCGAGTTATAACATTCAAGGTGAGAGTTGAAAGCTCAATCTTCATGTTGATGGGAACTTTGAGTTGTTCGGCCACTCTTTGCAGGAGATTTTGAGTTTCCTCGAGCCTTGTGTTCTGGAAACTGGAGAGACGTTTTGAACTAAACAGCTCCGTCGTGCAAATCTTCCTCATTTCCCTCCAGTAGGGACCATATTTGCAGCAAGAGATGTTCTTCGAGTTGTAGCACAGGCTTTGCGGGGAAATGAGAACAGGCCTCGACGCAAAGACGCGATCGTAAGACGTAAGGATTTCTTTTGCTGCTTTCTTGGATGAAATGACGATGGCTGTTTTGTTTCCCAGCTTAATGGTCATTATGGGACCGAACTTGTGCGAGAGCTTGTGGAATGACTGGTGTGGGAGCTTGAGAAGAAGATGGAGGTGGCCAACAATTGGCAGTGCCATCGGTCCCGGAGGCAGCCTCAATCGAGACTTGAGCATCAGCCACCATGAAACAGATATCACAGCAGTCAGAATGCAAGCGAAGGCGAGCAAAAACCAATTCATTTGAGTGCCCGGACTTGTGGACAGATGATCAAGAGCCTGACAGGCAACTACAAGCAAGGTGAAAAGAAGTGAGACCATGACAAACACAAAAGTCCCTGGAAGCTTCATCTTGCAGCAAGAGGTGGGCATTTGCTTGTCAATTTATAGTAGATTGAAGTCTTCGAATGTAATGCTTCTCTTTTGTCTCAGTAAGAATTCATCGAGTCATGAGCGGGAAGTCAGTCAGATCCAACTTTCCAGATCACGAGGCCAAGAGACGTTTAAACACGACACAGGTGACAGAGAAACACTATGTCATTGTGATGAATCGTCGCAGGGTCATCATATTACTCTTTCGAAACGCCATTGACAAGAAAGTTCATGAGATCGACTTGACTCGCTTCAAGTTACAATGACATTATCGTTTTTATGATTTTGTCAAGAACGTCAAGCGTGACCCACTGGTTCTAGGACAAGCATGGAAGCTCCACTGTGGTGAAGGAGAAAATTCCAACATGTCCACCTTGGACCGTCGCAAACTTAACTGGTACTTTGCTTCCCCGTTCCAAAGTGTTAACTTGGTTCTTGGTTGGAGCAGTCCTACAAGATCTGGCACGCTGGTATCAAAGTTTCGAGAAGAGTTCCAAGGATCTTACCTCGAGACACAGAGGCTGAAAAGCGGGACTCCAGGTGATGTCTTTCTAAACTGGCTGTTTGGAGCGTAGACGTCAAAGACCAACTTGAGAGAAGAAGAAGAAGAATGATCATCTCTTTCTCTGTCGATCGATTCGAGTTCTTCCTTGGCCGTCCAATCCACATTGTGGCGAGAGACGACATAGCCAAGAGCTTTGAAATGCGAGTAGACGTTGTAAGCGTCCATCGAGCAGCCATTCTTTTCCACTCCCAGAAGCTCGAGAACTTCGTGGAGATCCATAGTTCTTCCTTGCAAAGTGAGAACGAGACATCCTTGCTCCACAAGATAGCTGGACCAAGAAATTTGAAGATCATCCAATCGAAAAGAAATTTGTTTTATCGCTTACATGGTTTCTTCCACATTGCATAGCAGCGAAGAACTACGAATCACTCCAGTCGTGTTCCAGATTTTTCCTCTTGGATTTGCGACTCGAGCCATTCCAATCCGATCATCCCACTCTGCCGTGGATGCATCCTTCCTAGAGAAACCAATCTATATCAAAAATCTCTACTGAAAATCGAGAGAACCTCACGATCACAGTCGATCCTGGAACATCGAACAAATCCTCGGCGCGTTTCCTCGCTGCGATCCGCTCCTGGCGCTTAGCTGGCGCAAACAATCGCCGGATCCACGACTGGATCCACGCACGGATCCACGAGAAAAGGAGCATTGCTCTCAAGAACCCTAATTTTTGTAAAATCGCAATGCTAGTCTCGACATGGATTGTGGGAATGGCGCTCGTCCTCGCCTCGCTCTACGCCACTCACAGGATCGGTCTGCCGCACGGCCGCAATCTCCAGCTCCAGTCCACAAATCCAGCGCTGAATCTCACCATTTTTGCAGCTCCATCCAGCATCGAAGCCCCAATGCAGCGCCTGGCGCTCCATTCGTGGCTGGATCTCGTCCCGCCGCCCTGTGTGGTGCTTCTGGGATCGGATCCATCGCTGCATCGAGTGGTTTCTTCCCTTGATCAAGAGCATTGCATCTCGGTTGAATCAAACGTGGATTCTACGTAAGTTGTTGCGAAATTTTTTGGGAAGAGTGTTCTAAGGATCTTTACAGAATGTAGCTTCCAGGGAGTGCCATTCTTCCACTCGATGGTCGCGAGAGCTCGATCAGTCAGCTCGGGAGTAGTAGTTATCGTTGATCCGGACGTTGTTCTTCCTCCCAGCCTCACCAAAGTTCTTAGTCATGTCAGGAGCCTCCAGCATCGTCACTGGCTCATGGTTGCCACGTCCAAGACACTGCCTGGATCTTCTCTCGCGATCGACAAGCTTCACCAGGTAAGAATCTTCTTCTTCTCTATGGTTTCCTTCTTCAGCGATCTCAATTTGATGAAGGTGGAGGACTATGTCAGCAAGAATGGTCGCTGGTCCGAGTGTGGTGGAGTAAAACTCTGGGCTTGGAATCCATCCCAGGTACCACTTCACGCTGGTGTTCTTCCACCTTTCCGGTATGGAGCCGGCTTCTACAACCAGTGGATGCTAAACGAGGCCATAGCATCAGAGCTGCGGGTGGTGATTGACGTGAGTGAAGCACTTGGAGCGTTCCAGATACTCTTGAGCAACGACACAATCCAAGCACCACCATCGAGCTCCTGGGAAGTTGATGCCAATGCTCGACTAGCGAGAACTTACGGCTCCTACGCTTTCAAGCCACCACATTTCTCAAACCAGCCGGTAGCCAGGCTCTTCCCTTGTGGATCGCAGCTGTGCCATCAAAGCTGTGACGCTGGAGGGAGAAGCCAGGCCTTAATGACGAGTTTCCGGCGCTATGTCCACGAAAGTGAGAGTTCCTGCGGGAAACTTTCAGCTCCACAGCTAGATTGTTCTTCATCGCAGCACCAGGTTTCTGGAAATCTCTCTTCGATCACCAGTGGCTATTCGTACCAGCTCGAGTCATTGCTGCTCAAAGTTTCCAGTCCGGACAAGGTAGTGGTGCTCACAGTCGTAAGTCACAGCTACAGGGACATGCTAATGAGCTGGGTGTGCCGCCTTCGCCATCTCAACGTTACGAACTATCTGGTAGCCACCATTGACAAGGAAATGTACCAGTTCGGGATTCTACAAGTAAGTCACTGTTTATTTCTCTTTGCTCTTTGTGAAGTTCTAAGACCTGGAAAAACTCTATCGCAGGGATTGCCTGTATTTCGAACGGAGTCTGGGAGAAGTGATTCCAAGGACTGCACGTTTGGAAGTAGCTGCTTTAAAACAGTGACCAAGTCCAAGTCTAGAACCGTGCTGCGAATTCTGGAGCTTGGCTACAGCGTTCTCTTCAGCGACGTGGACGTGTATTGGTTTAGCAGCCCGATTCGAGAGCTCATGGCTTTCGGGCCGGGAGTTCTAGCAGCACAAACGGACGAGTACAATGAGAAAGGTATGGTACGTTTGGAAGTTTAGCTCTCATCTATATCACACTCTTTCCAGAAGCTGTTAATCTCCCTCGCCGACTGAATTCCGGCTTCTACTTCGCGTGGTCGGACAACGCCACCATAGTTTCCTTCCGCAAGATCGTCAAGCACGCCGCCAAGTCGAAGCTCTCGGAGCAGCCAAGCTTCTACGACGTTTTGTGCGGCGAGGATGGGAAGCACAGGAAAGGCAATTCTTCGTGTGTGGAGCCGGAGACCAATCTCACAGTCGAGTTCCTGGATCGCTGGCGGTATCCAAACGGAGCCTACAAGCTCATCTGGGACAGCAAAGACGTGAGAGGAACTTGCCAGAGACTTGGCTGTGTGATTCTCCACAACAACTGGAAGACCGGACACCAGCAAAAGATCGAGAGACAAACGCGAGCAGGCTTGTGGGAGTATGACCCAGAGACGAGGATGTGCTCGAGAGCTTGGAAAAATCACGAAAACTCCAAGCATCTCTATTGAATGGAAGTTTAAGGTTTAAAGCTGTAGTTAAAACGTGGTTAATGTTAACTGCCTTTTAGTTTATATAGGGAAAAGGTTAAGGATGCCTGGATTATAAAAGGATCCAATGCTGTAGAAACCCTTGTCTCTCAGATGGGAATTCCAGTCTATTTTGCATCGGTTTTGAAAGAACACCCGGACTGCGTTTGTGATGCCAACACGGGGCTGCTTTCAACATGCGCCAACTTGTACGTAGATGTAGGCTCCGCCATCTTTGTGATTTTGGAGAGGGAGGACTACCCCGCCACCTTCGCCGGCTTCTATCGAGAGTTCGTGGATTCCATGCACACCATCTTGAGTATCGCGTCGCCCAGCAAGCTTGTGTTCTTGGCTCTCGATGGAAGGCCTCCAGCTGCAAAGACTTTCCACAAGATCTTTAAGAAGTCCAACGGGCAAGGTACTGTTTCGAAGGAGGAGGAGCTGGATCCGTCATCCGTGGATGATCGGTTTCTTCCAAAGAACGAAAAGGAAAGGTTCGCGATGGTTTGCCATGGAACGCCATTCATGGACGGTGTGGTGAGGGAACTGCGAGGTCTTGTAGCTAGAATGAGCAGTGCCCATCCAAGGATGAAGTGGATTCTCTCGACAACGGAGGAGGATGGAGAGGGAGAGTACAAGATCTTCAAGCACATCAAGACTGTGCCTTTCAACGCCCACGACACTTTCTGCGTGGTTGGACGTGATGCGGATTTAATCATGCATTCCCTGGCCAGCCCGGTCTCGAAGAAGATCAACATTCTCAGGCAAACGCCCAGGAAGGAAGGAGGCATGGATTACAAGATTTTAAGGATTGACAAGCTGATTCGGGACTTGGAGGTTGAAATGAAGGAGCCCTCCAAAGTGAGATCGAGATCCGCAATGAGGGACTTCGTGTTCATGTGCTTCTTCCTCGGGAATGACTTTCTCCCAAACGTGGGTTTTCCCAGCGTGAAAGGTGGTGTCAACATACTGCAAGCGACATACAAGGAGGTTTTCTCGGAGATTGGAGAGTTCCTCATTGATGTGGAAGGGCAAATCAACATGACAGTTTTGGAGAGCTTCGTCCGGAAACTCTCCAGGAGAACGACGACAAGGCCAGCACAGGACGATTGCTCCTCTCATGAAAAAAACGAGTCCTTCCTCGCGCTTCTCAATTGGTGCTGCAACTATTACTTCAATAGTTCGGCATCGCATGAGTCTTACTATCGATGGGAGACAGCTCCTCCTCTGGAAGAATTCGCTGCCTTCATCGCAAACCATCAGCGAGGTCCTCAAATCAGCCCAGCAGCACATGTTACAATAGACTTAAGGCCGCAATGGCTGAAATCATACACTTTTGTCACATCACGTCAAACGTAGGATCAACAAGCATGTGTACGTTTAAGCACGCTTAATGGTTTATATTCAAGATTAGTAGAAATTTAAATTTTATCAATATATTAACTGGAATATTCATTTTGTGTTGTATTGCTACGATCAATATATATATATTCTATTCCCTTAAGCTTGAGCTTCTTTATGAAAATTAATATGATTTAGCTAGCACTGTACTAAATCATGTTGAAAGCCACTAAAACTCAATAGTCTATAAGATAATAATAGATATTTATAATTTACATTTCTTATTGGATTCACAATGAGGCCACATACGGCTGTCTTGTAATCACTTCCAGTTTTGGGATTGTTCCAACCATATGTTGTCATTAATCCGCAAATGAAATGCTCTTCCAATTCCTGATTGTCCAGACCCAAAATTTGGATGCGGCCCATGCACAGCCACCACTTTGCCTGGATAGTAAGAGGAATCCCACACAAAGATCTTAAAGGCTGCAAAATACAAACACATAGTCCTGAAAAGTAGTTATGAATTACCTTGGGTCGATTTGCTCTTGCTTGGAACTGTTACAAGCTTATTTTTGGCTAAAGCAGTGGGACCTCCTTTACTCCCTTCTACATTTACTTCTTCTTCGGAGAACTTTAGAATGGATAGCCCTGCCTCGATTAAAGGTTTGCATTCTTCCATGCCGATTAACTTCAAGCCATTGTAATCAATAAACCTGGGGATATTGCTTGTTCGCGGTTCTAAACTTCCTCCCAGACTTTCTTCAAGGGTGTGTCATCCAGATTTCTCTTCATGATTTCATGCGGACCTTGATCCCGAATATTTCAACATCATCCATCAACTCGTGAATGTCAGGATCACTAGCATGATGTTATAGATCGAAATACCCTCCACACAATAGATAAGCTGGGTGTGTTTCTTCGTACGATTTGTTCTTCAAAAAGGCCCAATCCAACTTTTAATGTAGATGGAAATCTAGAGTTTAAAAGAACTTCCAAAATGTCATCAATCTCATTGATAAGAAATTGGATACACTCCACAGAATGGACAAACAATTCAGACATTTCATTAGCTATGCACTAAAGAGACCTGTTTAGGGTTTAGGGTTAATGGATCCGTTTAAACCCTAATGTCTGTCGTGGCGTTCCGGGCTCTTCGTCTCTTCTCCGTCGCACGCAGCGCTAGCCCTAGAGGATCGGTGCGCCTTCGCGCTTGCTCCACCACCGCCACGGCCTGCTGCGGCGCCATGGAGCAGTTTGAATCGTTCCGCGCAGAGATGGATGCGTCCAATGCCGTGAGGGAGCAGCTTCGATCGGCGGTGTCAGAGCTGGACAACGCCACTCGCCTCATGAATGCGGCATTGCTTCCAATCCATCACTCCTCCTCCGGCGGTAAGCGTAGATCTATTGCGTTCTTCTCTTTAAACTTTTAAGCTTCCAGATAGTATCAAGAA